ACATTATGGGAGCTGGCTCTGATTGACCCCTGCATGGCTGGGCTAGTACTTTAATCAGATGATGGGAGCTGGCACTGATTAACACCTGCATGGCTGGGCTGGCACTAATCAGATGATGGGAGCTGGCTCAGGTTAACCCCTGCATGGCTGGACTGGTACTTTAATTACATGATTGGAGCTGGCTCTGATTAACCCTTGCATGGCTGGGCTGGCACTTTAATCACATTATGGGAGCTGCTCTGGTTAACCCCTGCATGGCTGGGCTGCCGGTAATCACATTATGGGAGCTGGCCCCTTCATGGCTGGGCTAGTACTTTAATCAGATGATGGGAGCTGGCACTGATTAACACCTGCATGGCTGGGCTGGCACTAATCAGATGATGGAAGCTTGCTCAGGTTAACCCCTGCATGGCTGGGCTGGCATTTTAATCACATCATGGGAGCTGGCTCTGATTAACCCCTGCATGGCTGAGCTGGCAATATTCACATGATGGGAGCTGGCTCTGGTTAACCCCTGCATGGCTGGGCTGGCAATAATCACATGATGGGAGCTAGCTCTGGTTAACCCCTGCATGGCTGAGCTGGCACTTTAATCACATGATGGGAGTTGGCTCTGCTGGCACTTTAATCACATTATGAAAGCTGGCTCTGGTTAACCCTTGCATGGCTGGGCTGGCACTTTAATCACATTATGGGAGCTAGCTCTGGTTAACCCCTGTGTGGCTGGGCTGGCAATAATCACATTATGGGAGCTGGCTCTGGTTAACCCCTGCATGGCTGGCCTGGCACTTTAATCACATTATGGGAGCTGGCTCTGGTTAACCACTGCATGGCTGGGCTAGCATTTTCATCACATTATGGGAGCTGGCTCTGATTAACCCCTGCATGGCTGAGCTGGCAATATTCACATGATGGGAGCTAGCTCTGGTTAACTCCTGCATGGCTGAGCTGGCACTTTAATCACATAATGAAAGCTGGCTCTGGTTAACCCTTGCATGGCTGGGCTGGCACTTTAATCACATTATGGGAGCTGCTCTGGTTAACCCCTGCATGCCTGGGCTGGCGGTAATCACATTATGGGAGCTGGCCCCTTCATGGCTGGGCTAGTACTTTAATCAGATGATGGGAGCTGGCACTGATTAACACCTGCATGGCTAGGCTGGCACTAATCAGATGATGGAAGCTGGCTCAGGTTAACCCCTGCATGGCTGGGCTGGCATTTTAATCACATCATGGGAGCTGGCTCTGATTAACCCCTGCATGGCTGAGCTGGCAATATTCACATATGATGGAGCTGGCTCTGGTTAACCCTCCCTGCATGGCTGGGCTGGTAATAATCACATGATGGGGAGCTAGCTCTGCTAACCCCTGCAAAATGGCTGAGCTTGGCACTTTAATCACATGTGATGGAGTTGGCCTCTGCTGGCACTTTAATCACATTGCGAAAGCTGGCTCTGGTTAACCGTTGCATGGTTGGGCTGGCACTTTAATCACATTATGGAGTTGGCTCTGAATAACCCCGGCGCCGCTGGGCTGGCTGTAATCACATTAAGGGAGCCAGCCCTGATTGACCCCTTCTGCATGGCTGGCTAGTACTTTAACTGATGATGGAGCTGGCACTGATTAACACCTGCATGTCAGCTGGCACTAATCAGATGATGGGAGCTGGCTCAGGTTAACCCCTGCATGCATTGACTGGTACTTTAATTACATGATTGAGCTATTCTGATTAACCCCTGTATGGCTGGGCTGGCACTTTAATCACATTATGGGAGCTGCTCTGGTTAACCCCTGCATGCCTGGGCTGGCGGTAATCACATTATGGGAGCTGGCCCCTTCATGGCTGGGCTAGTACTTTAATCAGATGATGGGAGCTGGCACTGATTAACACCTGCATGGCTAGGCTGGCACTAATCAGATGATGGAAGCTGGCTCAGGTTAACCCCTGCATGGCTGGGCTGGCATTTTAATCACATCATGGGAGCTGGCTCTGATTAACCCCTGCATGGCTGAGCTGGCAATATTCACATGATGGGAGCTGGCTCTGGTTAACCCCTGCATGGCTGGGCTGGCAATAATCACATGATGGGAGCTAGCTCTGGTTAACCCCTGCATGGCTGAGCTGGCACTTTAATCACATGATGGGAGTTGGCTCTGCTGGCACTTTAATCACATTATGAAAGCTGGCTCTGGTTAACCGTTGCATGGCTGGGCTGGCACTTTAATCACATTATGGGAGCTGGCTCTGGTTAACCCCTGCATGGCTGGGCTGGCGGTAATCACATTATGGGAGCTGGCCCCTTCATGGCTGGGCTAGTACTTTAATCAGATGATGGGAGCTGGCACTGATTAACACCTGCATGGCTGGGCTGGCACTAATCAGATGATGGGAGCTGGCTCAGGTTAACCCCTGCATGGCTGGACTGGTACTTTAATTACATGATTGGAGCTGGCTCTGATTAACCCCTGAATGGCTGGGCTGGCATTTTAATCACATTATGGGAGCTGGCTCTGGTTAACCCCTGCTGGCACTAATCACATTATGGGAGCCAGCTCTGGTTAAACCCTACACGACTGGGCTGACAATATTCACATTATGGGAGCTAGCTTTGGTTAACCCCTGCATGGTTGGACTGGCATTTTACATGATGGGAGCTTGCTCTGGTTAACCCCTGCATGGCTGAGATGGCACTTTGATCACATGATGGGAGTTGGCTCTGATTAACCCATGCATGGTTGGACTGGCATTTTACATGATGGGAGCTAGCTTTGGTTAACCCCTGCATGGTTGGACTGGCATTTTACATGATGGGAGCTTGCTCTGGTTAACCCCTGCATGGCTGAGATGGCACTTTGATCACATGATGGGAGTTGGCTCTGATTAACCCCTGCATGGCTGGGCTGGCACTTTAATCACATTATGGGAGCTGGCTCTGGTTAACCCCTGCTGGCACTAATCACATTATGGGAGCCAGCTCTGGTTAAACCCTACACGACTGGGCTGACAATATTCACATGATGGGAGCTTGCTCTGGTTAACCCCTGCATGGCTGAGATGGCACTTTGATCACTTGATGGGAGCTAGCTCTGGTTAACCTCTGTATGGCTGTGCAGGCACTTTGATCACATTATGGGAGCTAGGTCTGGTTAACCCTTGCATGGCTGAGCTGGCACTTTGATCACATGATGGGAGCTATCTCTGGCTAACCTCTGCATGGCTGAGCTGGCACTTTAAGCACATTATGGAAGCTGGTTCTGGTTAACCCCTGCATGGCTGAGCTGGCACTTTAATCACATTATGGAAGCTGGCTCTGGTTAACCCTTGCATGGCTGGGCTGGCACTAATCACATGGTGGGAGCTAGCTCTGGTTAACCCCTGCATGGCTGAGCTGGCATTTTGATCACATGATGGGAGCTGGCTCTGGTTTACCCCTACATGGATGGACTGGCACTAATCACATGATGGTAGCTGGCTCTGGTTAACCCCTGCATGCCTGGGATGGCACTAATCACATGATGGGAGCTGGCTCTCGTTAATCCCTACACGGCTGGGCTGGCACTAATCACATGATGGGATCTGGATCTGGTTAACCACTGCATGGCTGGACTAGCAAAGGCTTTGTTCAGCAGTTGTTACATGCTGCAGATGCTGTAAATTATTACTTTTGTCATGTATCTGAGCAGATCATTATGAGGGGCAGCATGGGGGTTGGGGGGCAGATATAGAAAGCATGCAGTGATTATTCTGGGAGGATTAGTGCTACATGGGGATTAATGAAGAATTCTCATTAATACAATGGATTGTGCACAGGACAGTCTGGGAGAGGAATGAATGATTGAATATAACTTGTTTATTGCCCTGTGTTTATGTAATCTCCTGCCTGATAGGAAGACCAACAGGTGGATGTGTAGGAATTAGAGTTTAACCCCTTGTATACCAATAGCCAATGTTAAAGACTCAGTTTCTTATCCTCACCTGTATTAACTGAGTTTGTAGAATTGTAATGGCAAAAAAGGCAAGAAACAGGAAAAGGGAGGACATGGGTAAACATGCCATTTAATGAAGACAGGGAGGTGTGGGTTAGCAGATATGCTGATAGCAGGCTGCTCCCACTAATTCCACGCCTCCCCTGGATTTCAAGGTATCACAGCCTGGCTTTCAGCACCATAATCACTGGACAGCCAGGAGACCACAGCCAGGCTCTCAGCTCCACAATCTCAAGACAGCCAGGAGACCACAGCCTGATAATCACTGGACAGCCAGGAGACCACAGCCTGATAATCACTGGACAGCCAGGAGACCACAGCCAGGCTCTCAGCTCCACAATCTCAAGACAGCCAGGAGACCACAGCCTGATAATCACTGGACAGCCAGGAGACCACAGCCTGCTTTTCAGCACCCCAACCTCTGGACAGCAAAGACACTCAGCATTACAATCAGTGGAAAGCCAAGGAGACCACAGGCTTTCAGCACCACCACCTGTGGACACACTGGATTTCAGTACCACAACCTTTGGACAGCAAAGACTCTCAGTACCACAATCAGCCAAGGACAGTCTGCTCAGTTCTACGGGCTCTCTCAACCATCTTCTTCCACAAATCAAACGGTATCTGTATCAGCCAGAAGTTCTCACACTAGCAGCAATCAGCAGATAACTGTACCAGCCCAAGGTTCCCTGTAAGTATCATTCAAGCAGTGTCAGTATTAGCCAGTAACATTCAGCCAGTGTTTGTAGCAGTAGGAGGTTTCCTATGAGCAGCTATCAGCATTCGTTTGTACCAGCCAGAGGTTCCATGTCAGCAGTAATCAGTCTATGTCTATACTATCCCATGGTTTCCTACTAGCAGCAATCAACAAGTGACTGTACCAGCCAGGAGTTCCCTATCAGCAGCATTCAGACAGTGTCTGCACCAGACAGAGGTTTCAAATTAGCAGCAAACAGTCCGGAGTCTATACCAGCCAGAGCTTCCCTATCAGCATCTGATTCCAGTCTGTGCTCAGTGACAGAGCAGTTTAAGTCTGAGCTCTCACAGCAGGACTGACACTCAGTTATTGGAGAAGGAGCTCTCCCAGCAGGACTGACACTCAGTTATTGGAGAAGGAGCTCTCCCAACTGGACTGACACTCAATTATTGGAGAAGGAGCTCTCACAGCAGGACTGACACTCAGTTATTGGAGAAGGAGCTCTCCCAACTGGACTGACACTCAGTTATTGGAGAAGGAGCTCTCACAGCAGGACCGACACTCAGTTATTGGAGAAGGAGCTCTCACAGCAGGACTGACACTCAATTATTGGAGAAGGAGCTCTTCCAGCAGGACTGACACTCAGTTATTGGAGAAGGAGCTCTTCCAGCAGGACTGACACTCAGTTATTGGAGAAGGAGCTCTTCCAGCAGGACTGACACTCAGTTATTGGAGAAGGAGCTCTTCCAGCAGGACTGACACTCAGTTATTGGAGAAGGAGCTCTTCCAGCAGGACTGACACTCAGTTATTGGAGAAGGAGCTCTTCCAGCAGGACTGACACTCAGTTATTGGAGAAGGAGCTCTTCCAGCAGGACTGACACTCAGTTATTGGAGAAGGAGCTCTTCCAGCAGGACTGACACTCAGTTATTGGAGAAGGAGCTCTTCCAGCAGGACTGACACTCAGTTATTGGAGAAGGAGCTCTTCCAGCAGGACTGACACTCAGTTATTGGAGAAGGAGCTCTTCCAGCAGGACCGACACTCAGTTATTGGAGAAGGAGCTCTTCCAGCAGGACTGACACTCAGTTATTGGAGAAGGAGCTCTCCCAACTGGACTGACACTCAGTTATTGGAGAAGGAGCTCTCCCAACTGGACTGACACTCAATTATTGGAGAAGGAGCTCTCCCAGCAGGACTGACACTCAGTTATTGGACAAGGAGCTCTCCCAGTAGGTCTGACACTCAGTTATTGGAGAAGGAGCTCTCCCAGGAGGACTGACACTCAGTTATTGGAGAAGGAGCTCTCCCAGCAGGACTGACACTCAGTTATTGGAGAAGGAGCTCTCCCAGCAGGACTGACACTCAGTTATTGGAGAAGGAGCTCTCCCAGGAGGACTGACACTCAGTTATTGGAGAAGGAGCTCTCCCAGCAGATAGAAGGAGCAGACAGGTATTGGAGCTCTGTGAGTATTTGGAGCTAAGGCTACAGACAGACACCCTCCATGTCCCCCTGACCTCTGGGATCAACACTCCCGATTTACTGATAATGAATAGCTCAGGTCTTCTGGGCTCACCGACCCCCGAGGTGGGTACAGAGACCACCCTGGTGCTGCCCCTCATCCTGGCCACCATTTGCCTGCTGGGCTTCACAGGGAACCTGCTGCTCATTGCCACTCTCCTACATGACGTCCGCAGTGGTAAGTGCTCGCTGGCCAACCTCCTGGTGATTCATGTGGGGGCCACCGACCTGCTGCTGCTGGCCCTGTGCCTGCCCATGCTACTCGTATCTCAAGCCCGCCAGTCGTGGGTGCTTGGACACTTTGCCTGCAGGACCTCAGACTGGTTCGTACATAGTTGCCACATAGTCAAGAGCCTGACCCTGGCTGCCATCAGCCACGCCCGGTACCGCCACGTGCTATCCCCACCACGTCTGCAGCCTGTCAGTGGGGGACGGGCCGGGGGCCTGCTGCTTCTATCCTGGTCCCTAGCCCTCCTGCTCCCACTGCCACAGCTGCTCTTCTCCCGGTTGGAAGAAGAGGGAGGGCGGCTGCGATGCGAGCTGGACATCCCGGCCAGGGCAGAACCGTTCATGGCGGTGTTCTCTAAGCTGTACCCACTGCTGGTCTATGTGCTGCCCGCTGCCTTCACCATGGGCTGTTACACCCGAGCCCTGCAGCGGAGGCGGGAGCGCAGGAAGAGGCTGTGTGGTCAGCGTGCCGGGAGCCGGAGAACCACCGCCATGCTGCTGGCTGTCGCCCTGGCCTTTCATGCGCTGTGGCTGCCGCAGTGGCTGGTGTGGCTGTGGGCCCGGCATGGTTCAGCTCAACCCCCAGCCTCCATGCTGGTTCTGGCCCAGGTTCTACTGTTTGCAGACTGTGCTCTGCCCCCAGGCCTCTTCCTGGCCGTGTCCCCCGACTTCAGAGACAGCTGCTGGAATGCCTGGCCCCTGGCACGCTGTCGGCCCCCTCATGACAACAGCTCAGATATGGCCACCATACAATCTCTGCACGACTTGCCCTCCACTCGCCTGGCCCCCAGGGGCCCCCAGGACACCAGGGATGGCAAGTTCCTCCCAGACGTGGAGCATTTCTGGCAGGATCGCAGGAACACCACAGCTGGGGAGGACAATGACCCCATGCCATGGGAGCATCAGACAGAGCCATGACAAGGCTAGCCAAGAAAACCCCCAGGGGGCCATGTGAGTGTGACTAGTGACATGGTGACCACTGCAAAAACTGGACATGGACCATGTGAGTGTCACTAGTGACCAGGATAGACACATGGTAGTGTGACTGGTGGGCAGAAACTTGGCATGGACAATGTGAGTGTGACTATTGATAGAGTGAATAGAGCAATAACTGGGTGTGTACCATGATAGTGTGACTAGTAACCAGGGCAATGAGTAGGCATGGACCATGTGAGTGTGACTAGTGACATGTGACCTGGGCAATAACTTGGCATGGAACATGGTAGTGTGACTGGTGACAGGGTGACCATGGAAGACACTGGGCATGGACCATGTAATTAGTGACAGGGTGACCATGGACCAGGGCAGACAAAGGAAATGGACCATGTGAGTGTGACTAGTGACAGGGTGACCATGGAAGATACTGGGCATGGACTATGATAATGTAACTAGTGACAGGGTGACCAGGGCAATAAGTGAGGATGGACGATGTGAGTGTGACTAGTGACAGGGTGACCATGGAAGACACTGGGCATGAACTATGATAATGTTACTAGTGGCATAGTGATCTGCGCAGACACTTGGCATTTACTATGTGAGTGGCATGGACCATGGTTGTGTTACTAGTAACAGAATGGCCAGGGCACTCACTGGGCATGGGTAATGGGACTAGTGACAGGTTGAAGGATCAGCCCTCACTGCTTAGTGGAAATGATCAGCTCGGTGACACAGCAAGAGTTCAAGCCACACATATTGTGGGATATTCTCCAGTGGGAATCAATCAGTTGGTGGGCAGATGGAGAATGGACACTTTGTGACTTTACAGGATGATGTAAGTGTGTTAGAGAGAATTTGTTAGCAGTACTATTGGAATCTGTCAACATGTGTGTAATGTATTGTAAGGTCACACAGAACCCACTAGATTTGCCAATAAAGATCAAAAAGAATTGATGTAAGAAGAATGATCCTTCCTCATGGACTTAATCTTTCTCATTGAAAAGGGCAATCTGATATCATCTAATACATTTTCTGTCGGTCCTAGTTTTATGTAAGCCTGGAAGTCTGTAATAAGGTTTGAATAAGATTACAGAAAACCATTTTAACTCAATAAGCAATAGCTACCTTCATTTAAATCCACTCTATGGAGAAATTGCTTTATGTGTATGTTGGTATCAGTGTGTGTATTTGTGTGTGGGTATAAGTGTGTCTGTAGTGTGGGAGTCTATGTGTGTGAATATCAGTGCGATTATATATGTGTCTGTGTATATAGATATTAGTTTGGGACAGTGGTTTGGGTGTCATTGTGTATATTAACGGTATATAGTGTATGGGCATCTGTGTTAGTGTGGATGTTAACATGTGTGTTTGTTTGTATGGATAGTAGTATATGGGCATCAGTTTGGGTGTCAGTGCAGATCTATTTGTGTGTATTTGTGTGGATATTAGTGTATGAGCATTGGTCTGGGTCTCAGTGTATATGTATGTGTGTCTATGGATATTAGTGTATGGGCATTGGTTCTGGTATCAATGTGGATGTATGTGTGTGTATGGATATTAGTGTATGGGCATTGGTTCTGGCGTCAGTGTGAATGTATGTGTGTCCGTGTGTATGGATATTAGTGTCTAGACATTGGTTTTGGTATCAATGTACACTAATGTGTATGTATGGACATTAGTGTATGGGCATTGGTTCTGGCATCAGTGTGAATGTATGTGTGTCCGTGTGTATGGATATTAGTGTCTAGACATTGGTTTTGGTATCAATGTGGATGTATGTGTGTGTATGGACATTAGTGTATGGGCATTGGTTCTGGCGTCAGTGTGAATGTATGTGTGTCCGTGTGTATGGATATTAGTGTATGGGCATTGGTTCTGGCGTCAGTGTGAATGTATGTGTGTCCGTGTGTATGGATATTAGTGTATGGGCATTGGTTCTGGCGTCAGTGTGAATGTATGTGTGTCCGTGTGTATGGATATTAGTGTCTAGACATTGGTTTTGGTATCAATGTGGATGTATGTGTGTGTATGGACATTAGTGTATGGGCATTGGTTCTGGCGTCAGTGTGAATGTATGTGTGTCCGTGTGTATGGATATTAGTGTATGGGCATTGGTTCTGGTGTCAGTGTGGATGTATGTGTGTGTCTTTGGATATTAGTGTATATGTGTATGGATATCAGTTTGAGTGTCAGTTTGCTTGCATGTTGGTATTACTGTGTGTATTTGTGTACGTAATGAATCTGTGTTTGCATGTGTTTGGTAGAGCTGGGCAGAGAGAATTAATAGATTGAAATCCATTGAATGATAATCTTTTCCACTTATCTGGTATTCCATTAAATTGACAAAGGTTATTTCACGATATATACAGATATTTTTATATTTGATGTATTTTGGAGCTTCATAAACACAAATCCTCCATATATGTATGACCGTAAATGCATTTTTAAACAGGTATTATTAGAAAATGGACATGCAATAAATGCATTTATTAAACAGGTATTATTAGAAAGTGGACATGCAATAAATGCATTTTTAAACAGGTATTATTAGAAAATGGACACACACACCTACACACACACACACATATATAATAGCCCCTTTGATAACCCTTTAGTACCGGACTCCTAGCCTTGAATTTTTTATTTGTGTGAGCTGACAAAGGCCTCGATTTAATCAACTTTCCAATTGACTTGATACTGTTAGAAAAGTTTCCAAGTAATTTATCTGCAGAAGTCACCATTAATGTCTGTAGAAATTTTTGTTCCTAAATAATTTTGACATTTTTCTAACAGAATTCCTTTGAAAAGCATGTTAAATTGAGGCCAAAGTATCTTACCAATCTTGCAAATGACTGTCGTATATATATGCCAAAATAGACAAGCTCAATGTAATCGTCATTTTGGCAGTAATTTATTAAATGAATACTGAATCTGGTTGACGATTACCTTTCTGGTAAAAGTAACAGTGTGTGTAATCTGTATTGTACAGGTAACATGTAATATGTCTTGGTGTTATCACTAAACCATGATATAATAGGTTTAAAGTGCCAATGTCATGTTTTTTGTTTTTTGTTTTTCCTTTCCTTATAACTCCCATATCGTAATAATTACTCTCCTCCTCTTACCCCTATGTATATTAATTCTCTTTTTCAATACCTGGGAGCAGCCATTTTGTCTCCTCTGTCCACTGTGCCTGCTGTTTGCCTTCTGTGGGATTGATTTTACTATTGGATTGTGGGTAAATCTGATTGGCAGCTGAAACAGAACTTTGCTTTATTCCCTTAATGCCGTTACGGCGTTCTTTGCCGTCCCGCATTAAAAGGGCTTTAAAGCCGTTGTGGCGGCATAGAACGCCGTAACGGCTTTGAGCCCATGGAGGTCCGGTGCACTTACCTCCGCCGCGATCCTCTTCTGGGGGGTTGCCTGACAGCACTGGCAGCCCTCCCCAGCAAATGAGGCCCCCGGGGCCATGTGATCGCTCTCAAAGAGCGATCACATGGCCCGCTATAGCTGGCTGTGGATCTGCCAGCAGAGGGACTGTCTGAAATGTCAGACAGTCCCCCTGCTGGTAGGAGGTGTAAAATAAATTAATTAAACATGTTTAAAATAAATTAAATGTATTTATATATATATATATATATATATATATATATATAATATCAAATATATACATATTATATATATATATATATGTAACGTCATACAAAGTGTATTTTAATATTAATATAAGTACACATATTAGTATTAAAATACACTTAGAATGACGTTACTTATATAAAATATGTATATATATATTTTATATATATAATAGATATATACACATATATTATATATATATATATATATATATACGTATAATTTCAATAATAAATAAATAATATAATAAAATAAATAAATAAAAAATTGTTTTAAATTTTAAATAAATTATATATTCATATGTAATTTCATTCTAACTGTATTTTATTATTTATATATATATATATATATATATATATATATATATGTAACAAAATACACTTAGAATGATATTCTATATATATCTATCTATATATAAAATACAAATAACCGCATATATATATATTTATATATATATATATATAAAAAATACATCTAATTACATCAAATATTACATTAGTATACACGTAGAATTTAAATACCTATAAATGCATATATATTAAAATTCTACATGTATATTTAAGTTATCTTTTAACATAATTATGTGATTTGATTAATTAAAATTTGATTGACATGCCTGACAACACAGGGAGAAAGTGCAGAGAATTTAATTCGCAAGCACTATATTTGACCCTGTAACTCTCCAAGACACCATAAAACCTGTACATAGGGAGTACTGTTTTACTCGGGAGACTTAGGTGAACTCAAATATTAGTGTTTCAAACTGGTAAATTGTATTACAACGATGATATTTTAAGTAAAAGTGACTTTTTTTGCATTTTTTACAAACGAAGTGCACTTTTACAGACTATATTATTATTTTAATATATTTTACTGTTTTAAAACACTAATATTTGTGTTTAGTCAAGTCTTCCGAGAATAACATGTTTGTGACTAAGTGGCTACTAAAAAAGACTAAACATACCCCACTTTCAATACCTCGAGTTGTCTACTTTTTCCAAAGTGCTGAAGTGCCAAATTTTGGAAGTGCTGAACCAAACCGAATTTCCAACGTGCCGAATTTTGAAAGTACCAAAGTGCTTTGGATTTCTGAAAGGTGGCAAAATAAGAAAGGGAAAGATAATTATGTGAATGATGACAAAAATCTAGGTCGCTAAGCTAATTCCTAGCACTGGGAGCACTATATATGTGTAAGTGGTTGTGGTGGCAGCCCGGGCACCTAACTCTACCCCTAGATGTGTAAGTGGTTGTCGTGGTTAGGGTTAGGAGTAGGGTTACGGGTAGGGGTAGGGTTAGTGCTAGCTTTAGTCAAAGGTTTAGGGTTAGAGTTAGAGTTAGGGGTAGGGTTAGTGAGCCCTACAGATGTGTAAGTGATTGTGAGAGCAAGAGAGGGATGCTTACGAATGTCCAAATTGCCGAATTGCCGAATTTCGGAAGTGCCGAATTGCCGAACCACAGAATTTTGGAAGTGCGGAACCGAAGTTACTTACCCGAATTTCCGAACTGAACCGTTCTGAATGTTTTGCCCGTGCACATCCCTAATTCCTGTTAGTATATGATTGGATCCTTCAACTATATACATACACCTTGGGACAGTGTTCGCATGTGACAGTCTTTATGGTTTTCCCGGCCTCACTCCCTGCACAGAACCAGGGGAGTCCATAGAGACATAGGGTGTTTTCAAACACTGTCTGACCCAAGGTGTATAGAATGGATGAAGAATCATGTCATATAATAAAATTATGGAAAATTGTTCTCATTTTTTTTATCATTGATCAAGGCGGGCCGGTCACATTTATTGGTAAATGCAGGTCACATTTATTGATGAAGGTGGACCAGTCACATTTATTGGTAAAGGCAAGCCAGTCACATTTATTGATGAAGGCACGTCACATTTATTGATAAATGATAAATAAGTCCCCTTGAAGTCTATGCTGGGTTTTGGGTCCATGCGGACAAGATGGCCGCCACCACATGTTCGAATGTCGAATGGCGGCCACGTCGACTACTTCGACACTTTGACTGTATTGATTAAGGTGGACCAGTCACATTTATTGATGAAGGCAGGCCAGTCACATTTATTGATAAATGCAGGTCACATTTATTGATAAATGCAGGTCACATTTATTGACTAATACAGGTCACATTTATTGATTAAGGTGGACCAGTCACATTTATTGGTAAAGGCAAGCCAGTCACATTTATTGATGAAGGCGGGTCACATTTATTGATAAATGATAAAAAAGTCCCCCTGAAGTCTATGCTGGGTTTTGGGTCCATGCGGACAAGATGGCCGCCACCACATGTTCGAATGTCGAATGGCGGCCACGTCGACTACTTCGACACTTTGACTGTATTGATTAAGGTGGACCAGTCACATTTATTGATGAAGGCAGGCAAGTCACATTTATTGATAAATGCAGGTCACATTTATTTATTAAGGTGGACCAGTCACATTTATTGATGAAGGTGGGTCACATTTATTGATGAAGGTGGGCTGGTCAATTTATTGGTGAAGGCGGACCAGTCAAATTTATTGATGAAGGCAGGTTGCATTTATTGATGAAGGCGGGTCGGTCACTTTATTGGTGAAGGCAGGCCAGCCACATTTATTGGTGAAAGCGTGCATGTCACATTTATTGACACATTGTCACATCAAAATACAGGTTTAAATTTTATATGGCCACTTAAAATCAGCTATCTCAGCAGGCGAATAAATATGGG